GTAGTGCGTGTGTGTACTACTACTACTAATATATATATATATATATATATATATATATATATATAACGTTGGAATCGAAATATACATATATATATATATACAAGAACTGTATATACCCACAATTGTATATGTACTCAGTATCACAAGCATATAAACAAACTCTATTTTAGTATTTTGTTATTTTTATACCGAATATTTTGATTGTATTCTCGTATGCTAGCATCACATATCAATACAAAAACTTACCTTCAGTTGATGACAGTATAGACACGTAGACCGTAATACTTGGAACATTGTGACGAAAAAGATCGGATTGTACACTGGTAGGGGCAGTTCAATATGTCCCGGATGACCTGGGCAGTTGTCGATATTTAGCGTACAGGTCTCACACTTCTCATAGCGTTCAATGGGTCCCATACGTTTATCATACAATCCGAATAACGTAGGACGTTGCATGTGATCAAGTAAGATGGGGTTGGTGATCCTGACTACACTGAGCTTCTTCACTTCCTCGGTTGAGTATAGGGAGAAGCCGACGGATTTGATCTCACGCCCAACATTGCTATAGTGTGCTGCCATGTTGCCGATTCGTATGTGTTATCACAGAATTTATATTTCGCTTCCAATATGTGCACTTGAAAGGCTAATGAAACACACGGCGACCCTGTATTTAGCACTTATAGTGCACACGCGTGAGTGCGGCCCGTTAATGTAGATCTCTATCTCACACTCCACGTACGAGTGCTTGTGATACCTGTCTTATCTAGATAGACCGTTTGTACGTACATGTATATAATCCCGATAGATAGTTATAAATATAACATTTATATTATTGATTAGAGGCGTTGCTGATCTACTGACCAAAAGAAGCCGCAGGGTGATATCAGCCATTTAATTTATTCGACAATATTACACATGTGTAGTACAGATGTGCTAAAAATAGAATAAAATTTCCCGTTGTTTTGTACGCCAAAATATATCTGCACACGGGAGAGATGCCCCCTACCAGAGACATTTCCAACGGCAATTCGCTTCGCAGTTTTTTACCCAATCACCAATCACCCTTGGACAGTTGGGCAGTTGGGCAATGTTTATACGTTTTAACGTAAATAAACAAAGAGATGCTGCTCACTCTCGTATCGGACTCTATAACCCTCATATCACTTGCATCATGGGTACTTACCGCTTGCTCACACGCTTCAACCCTCTGTTCACGTTCGCTGACTACACTCAGATACAAGATTCCGTGATAGGAATGAACATGTCGTACTTGATACATCGTTGTTGAGACGCACACGCTACTGAGTTTGTGTGCGCTACAGATAAGCGAGACTGTTGGGAGTGGTTCAAAATCGATGTTTAGCGTATGCTAGAAGGCATTAAAAAGTGGGGGTTGAACGAACAAACGGATATCAGTAGTTGACAAACATTATTGAGGCGAGCAAGAGTGTGAGGTCATTTTAATATTACTGAAGGCACGGCAAGTCCCTAAGAATTTTAATACTGAAAGCGTTAGCTTGATAAAGGCCCTCAATAGCGGTTTTTGTCTGTTACGCACAATATGTCCGTACTTCTTTTTGCCTATTTGTAGACTCCCTTAGAGTTTCCCCTGGAATCCCCTCACTAGTGTGTGAGAGTGAGTGTGTGAGTGTGTGTGTATGAGTGTTGCATGTGACTGAGCGTGTATATGAGTGTGTTTGAGAGTGTTTGTGAGTGTGTGAGTTAGTCTTTATATATGTGCGTGGGAAGTGTGAGTATATATATATATATATACGAGTGTATGGTCATTCTTGAGAGTGAGTGAGCACTAGTGTGTTTGTGTGTGTGTGTTGAGTGAGCGTATGTGTGAGAGTGAATGTGGGTGAGTAGTGAGTGTGTGTCTGCCTGTAAATGTATAGGACGTGCTACAATACCGGCTGTGCTGGTGGATGTGTGGGGTATGGGGTGCTGTGGTGTGAGTGTGAGTAATAGTGAGTTAGTGAGTGAGATTGCATGTGTGTTTGAGTGAGAGAGCGTGTTTTTGAGTGTGTGTGAATGCGTGTGTATATATGTGTGTGTGATTGAGTGAGCGTGTATGAGGAGTACAATTAGCGTGAATGTAGGTGAGTGCGACTTATCATGTGTGTATGTGAGAGGGAGAGGGAGAGAGTGTGTGTGTGAACGAATGTGAGTGTTTGGGTTAGTGTATGTGAATGCGTGTGTATGTATGAGTGTTTGTGAATGAGTGGGTATGTGTATGGGTGCGTGCGTGGGATTGAGTGGGTATGTAAATAGGTTCGTGTGTGTGAGTGTGTGTGGATGCGTGTGTGTGTGTGAGTGTTGCATGTGACTGAGTGTGTTGGCGAGTGTGTGTGTTTAAGTGAGTATACGGGAGTGTGAGTGTGGGTGAATGCGGGTGTGTGTATGAGTGTTGCATGTGACTGAGCGTGTGGATGAGTGCGGTTTTCAAGAGTGTGTGTGAGTGAGTGAGTATATCATATATATATATATATATATATATATAATAATAATATATATAT